CATGCAAAAAGACGTGCTGAAGAACACAAAAACGTGTGAAAAAGATATGATTTGACAAATACCCGGTCGGGTATCTCGAATACCCGATCAGATATCTCGAATACCCGATCGGGTATCTCAAATACCCGGTCGGGTATCCGGTGCAGCACCTTCAAAACACTTATAAATATCACGATTTTCCATCCCAATTTGATATCCCTTCTTTCATATACTTAAGCTCAACTTAGAATAGTATTTTCTTTATATTTTTGTAGCATTGTTTAGTCTCCAAATGAGGAGCTAAACTCTCATTTCTTGGTTTTGCTTTTGAAGCTTGTTGAATGTTAAAGTTGTGAGTTATTTTCTTACTTCTTCCCTTGAATATTAATTCTTTCCTTATTCTATATCTATATTAATGTTGGAGAGTTTTGCTATGATGACAATTAGTTAACATATTGACATTAATTACTACTAGAAACGATCAATGAACCGATGATTGGTGAATCATATATGATTTCACAAGTAAGTAAATTCGGGTTATTAATGCACGGTTGTGGTTAATAATCTTAAGAGGGATTAATTTTTTTGGTTAAATCGAAGGCATTGTGTTGAGGTTATCAATCTCAATTGATTTCATTAAAGAATTAAGAGATTAAATGCTACTATCAAGTTGGTATATGACGGTGTTCTATACTTGGCTAATAGTAAGGGTTATTAATGAGCGATTGTTATTAATAAATACCCTCGCTGAATTGGAGATACTCCTCGATTGAGTATTCGAGAGGGGATAAGTTATAGATATAACCATGATCAACAAACATATCAACAAGTGGAAAGTAGCAAAGCCAAGTCTTTTATCCTATTAATTAAAATCATATAAGTCGTTCGTCTTCGTGTTTAATAAATTAAATTCAAACAATCCCAAAACTCCCCTTTAATTACTAGTTTCATAAAAGAAAAGTATTCATTTCCCCGTGGATACAAACTCTACTTCACTATACTACATATTAGCGCTATTATTGAATTTATTTTGAGGCATGCATACAATAACTTTAATGCCGCCAAATTTGGCGCCGTTGCCTGGGAGAGGTATTAATTTTTCTTTTTTTAAAAAAATTACTTCTATTTTTCGAGCTTCATGAGAGTATTGGTGAAAACTCATGAGAAATGAATTTGGAGAAATCATAAGTGAGTCAATTTCCAACAACTTTGAAGAAGTTGTTAACATGGATACCAACACATCATTCCTAGAGAGTCAGATTTCTTGCTTGACTTCTTTAATAAAGGAGTTTCTCTTATGCTCAAAAGCTCAAGATGTCAAGGCCTACAACATAAGCATGTCTCATAGGCATCTTACTGATTTTTGCCTGAAGCTCCAAGAAGAATACTTTGAACAAATAGATGATGTTGGTTTCCAAAGAAAAGTACCGCACAAGAGGTATGATCCATTCTCCAATGCTAACATCTCCAAGGAGGACATGGTTCACGCTCTTGCTACCAACGTGACCACCACGCAAAAAAACATGGTGCAATTCCAAAATGAGACCAAGTCTAGCATTTTAAATTTGGAAACTCAAGTGAGTCAAATAGCCGGAGCCGTGAGCAGGCTTGAAGCAAAGGATTCAGAAAACTTCCCTCTCAAAATCCAGAAGAAGAAGACAAGGACACAGAGCTCCAACTGGTCAAAAAAGAGGATAAATCGAGCTTCAAATTCAGATTTTTATCCTTGCCATCCTTTGAGGTACCTCCACCATTTCTGGAAGCTTTGAGGGAAACTCGTAAAATTGAAAAGTACAATGACATTTTTGAAATCTTCAGCAAAATTGAGGGATCGAAACACATTCCATTGACCATGCTAAATGATAATTTCTTTCCCTCACTCTCACCACATGAAGCAATGGAAATTTGGATATTTGATCCTGGAAAGATTTTCAAAGTGAAAGGTCAAAAAACTGAGCATTTCTATGAATGTCCTAGGGATGAAAATGTGAAGAAGACGAATTATCATGATCCAAGCTTGAACGACTGAACACAATGATGGGGTCGTGGCGCGATGTTAAATGAGCAACTATTTGGGAGGCAACCCATGCAAGGCACGTAATTATTTTCTCATTTTATTCATTTTAAATTTTGTTTGAGTGTTGTTTGAGTGCACCATTTAAAAAATTAAAAAAAAAAGATTTTTGAAATGCCTGGGAAAACACCCGACCGGGTATCCTCATACGTCCGGTCGGGTCGAAGAGAAAAGTGTGATGCCTGAGGGCACCACCCGACCGGTCAGGGTGAAGAATTTGAAAAATAATGTGTAATCGATCGGGTACTTCAGTATACCCGATCGGGTATAATCACAAAACTCCACTGTCAGTCTCTAGAGAGCAATACCCGACTGGGTAAATACACCACCCGGTCGAACAAAAAAAAGAGAAAAAAGGTCAAAAATTACTAATACCTGATCGGGTACCTCAATATACCCGATCGGGTATTTGTTCATAAACTTTATGCCAGTCCAAAACATGAAGAGCCCGTCCGGTAAACTAAAACACCCGACCTGGTAAACATATTTCACATCCTACACCAGGTCGGGCACCCCCTCTCCTTCTCCATGTCTCATCCAAATTCGAACCCCTCTCTCACAACCTCCATAGCCAAAGACTCTAAACTCTAAATCCCAAACAACCTTCATAGCCACACAATTTGTTTTCTTTCTTCAAATTCACTCTCTCTTTGAGCCAAATTTATCACAAAACCCCAATATTTTCATCTCTCCACTCTCCCCCAATCCGAAATCCCAAAAAAATCCTAGCAATGGCGATAACAAGCACTAGGAATAGTGCTTGGTTTAGCGAGGGGGGAAAAGACTCTTCATTTTACATATGGTATTTCTTCTACATTGTATTTTTTTTTTAAAAAAATTATACAAAAAATGAAAGAAAAAGAAAAAAGAAGAAGAAATGCTGGTTAGGTTGAAAACTTGAACGGGCATCCTAAGCAACAATAGCAATAAAAAATGAGTGAGTTAAAAAAAGAAAAAAAGAGAGGCTAGGATGAAAACCTGAAAAAGCTCCTAGGCAAAATAAGAGAAATTAGAGAGAGAATTATTTTTGCAAGAGTTCATTTTCACCATAGCAAGCAGTTGGAGGGAGATGCAATAAAATTCTGCATTGGGAACAAATATGAATTCGTAAAAACAAATATGTTTTCCATTTTTTTTCAAACTTTGTGGATTGTAAAGCATTTTGTAGATTTTACTCGAGGACGAGTAAAAGACTAAGTGTGGGGGAGTTGATTGCAATGGTTTTGGAGTGCTTAAGTTTTTACCTATAATTAGTTTTTACGATGTGTTGTTGTGGCAATTGCACATTTACGATGCAACCTTTTATTTTTCTAGTTTATTGTAATTTATTAGTTTTAGAAGATCTTAAGCTTGAATAAATTAGTCTACAATAAAGGAGCATGAAAGATATCTTACAAAATCAAAGGAAGGTGCATTGGAGCAAGAAATCATCCAAGAAATGTTATTTGGTGGCTTACTCGGTCGGGTATACTCTTTACCCGGTCGGGTATGAAGTGAAAAACGAAGCTGCTGGGAAAATATAACTCATACCCGGTCGAGTATGAAGTGACTTCGGGCAAAAAGACGTGCTGAAGAACACAAAAACGTGTGAAAAAGACACGATTTGACAAATATCCGGTCGGGTATCTCAAATACCTGGTCAGGTCTCCGGCACAACACCTTCAAAACACCCATAAATAGCATCATTTTTCTTCCCAATTTGATATCTCTTCTTTCATATACTTAAGCTCAACTCAGAATAGTATTTTCTTTATATTTTTCTAGCATTGTTTTGTCTCCAAATGAAGAGCTAAACTCTCATTTTTTGATTTTGCTCTTGAAGCTTGCTGAATGTTAAAGTTGTGAGTTATTTTCATACTTCTTCCCTTGAATATTAATTCTTCCCTAATTCTATCTCTATATTAGTGTTGGGGAATTTTGCTAAGATAACAATTAGTTAACATCTTGACATTAATTACTACTAGAAACGATTAATGAACCGATGATTAATCAATGATGGTTTCACAAGTAAGTAACTTCGGGTAATTAATGCACGGTTGTGGTTAATAATCTTAAGAGGGATTAATTGTGTTGGTTAAACCGAAACCGTTGTGTTGAGGTTATCAATCTCAATTGATTTCATCAAGGAGTGTTATGAGATTAAATGCTACTATCAAGTCGCTATATGACGCTGTTTTATACTTGGCTAATAGTAAGGGTTATTAATGAACGGTCGCTATTAATAACTACCCTCGATGAATTGGAGATACTCTTCGATTGAGTATTCGAGAGGGGATAAGTTATAGATATAATCGGGATCAACGAGCATATTAACGAGTGGAAAGTAGCAAAACCAAGTCTTTTATCCCATTAATAAAATCATATAAGTCGTTCATCTTCGTGTTTAATTAATTAAAATCAAACAATCCCAAAACCCCCCTTTAATTACTAGTTTCATGAAAGAAAAGTATTCTTTTCATGTGAATACGAACTCTACTTCACTATACTACGTATTAGTGCTAGTATTGAATTTATTTTGAGGCACACAACGACTTTAGTGCCACCACCATTCCGAGTAAGTAAACATACACAACAACATCACATTTAAACATGATGGATAACGAAAGTATTCAATGTTTAATCATGGGCCACATCCGATGAAAACATGGGCTCGCATACCCAAAACAGTTTATAGTAATTCAAATATCCATGATCAAATGTTAGTAGTTTTAAAGTAATAACGAAACACGAAAGAGCATGTAGCAAACCCTAGCTTCGACCTGAAAATGGTGAGGGCCTCCGAAGGGGCCAGTACACTTGTACTGACGAGAAGCAGACTATATGTAAAATAACCAACGTTTCAAGTATACGATCCAAACATAAGGTGATACATAAACATATAATTCCCCAAAAGTCTTTAATAATATATATATATATATATATATATATATATATATATAAGTATACACGCTTGGAAAATACTTGACCCATAAGTCATTTAATCAAATCAATAAAATAATGGTGGACTTCAATCGAAGGTCTCGGTTTTTTCTGACTCCTTTACTATTGGTTTGATTGATGATAAGCATGTTCTTATTGAATTTAGCTGTGATTCCGATTTCCAACGCTTTTGGGTGAGGAAGATTTGGGGTTTTAGCGGTTTTGAAATCAGGGTTTCCAAATGGACTCCAGATTTCATGCCTAACACCGATTCCCCAATTACCCCTGTTTGGATTACCCTTGACAGTCTCCCCATTGAAAAATCTGCACTATTTTCAATTGCTAGTTCGATTGGAAAACCTGTCAAAATAGATATATCTGTTAACTTACCATCCAAAATCTGGATTGGTAATGGCTCCCACGGATTTTTCCAGACTGTTACCTACGAAGAAGTTCCCTTATTTTGCAAGGGTTGCAAAACTTTTGGTCATTCTCTTAAAAATTGCAAAAAAGGGAATTCCAATACCTTATCTATACCAAATAAGGCAAACTCCAATAAAAAATGGCTTCCGAAAATCTTAGCTAGTGGCGAATCGAGCCTGGGGAATCAATTAACTGATGAAAACCAGGTTGTTCTTGAACCCCCATTGACCTCCTATGATGCGGACGAGGAGGAAAACCGTGAACACAGTAACACTGATGATTGCTGTCCCTGAGCTAACTGTCCCTACCAAAACAACAATCCCAGCTACAATAAAGGTTGTGGAGCCTACTAAAACTGGGTTTGTTGTTCCTGAGTTGGCTGTCCAGGCCAAAACTACATTCCAAGCTCCAATAAATGATTTTGAACATACTGAAACTGAGCTTGAGGCTCTGGAGCCTCCGCCGGTCCATACTCCTCCTTGCGAGCAATTTGTAGAGCAGTCCATCCCTACCAATATAGTTTCACGTGATAATGGTTTGCAAATTACAAATTACAGTGAAAAAATAAGAGCTACTGAAATTGACCCTCCCTCGTCCGACAACAAACAGTAGGGCATAAGGGTCTACAGAGGCCCCCCTTACAACATTATAGCTGAGGACACCCCCTCCCAAATTAACCCTTTGAATGAAAACCAACCTACTAAATATTTGGTTTATCCTGCATCTCAAAAGCTAAACAGTCCTGACGATAAGGAACCGGATTGTCTGTCCCTTATAGATATACCGATCGAAGAAGAAGGATTCACTCCAGTGGTCTCGAGGAAAAATAAAAAAATAAGCCACCAAGACCAACTCACATCAATTCAAGTTCCAGTAACATATACCAGGGGATACAATCAACATATACTAACAAGGAGCAAAGCCAAGGCCGGTCAAACAGAGTTTGAATTCTAAGCTTATCCCGAAGAACACAAATACGAATCGCCGCACAAACTGGTGCGATTATTCAGAGGGCGATCAAATTTCATCACAAATACAACAAAGATCTATCTATACAGGCTGGTCTCCCCAACAATTATAACTACTCAGTAAACTTATAGACTCTACTCTCTTTTATTTCAATGCTGCTTATTTCTTTAACTCTTTCTCGAGTAGGCTTTGGTTTGGCCCTCCTACTCTTTGTACCTCCTTTTTATTAATAAATCGGTGAGGATTTCTCCGGAAAAAAATGGTGGACTTCACCCCTAATATCCGAATTTTGAGTACATTGGTAATCCCTATGTACTCCACCCGAATCAATGAGTTTTGAGGACACCGTCCGCCCCCTAGGTACTCCACTTGAACCTATGATCTACCATATACCTTACCCGACTATGGTCTATATCATATCATACCAATGACTAATCCAAGTCTTGGCATCTAAACACAATATTCCATCCAATTCCATGAAAATATACATATATAGAATGATCGGGAGCGGTTCTACCTCGAACCGGTCCTGGTTTGCAATTTCATCAAAAAAGCGGCCCCGAAACCCGAGACCGAACCGATACCGGTTCCGGCCCTGAACGGCTCCGGTACATATATTTTTATTTAATCTTGGACTGGCCGAGAGTAAACCGTCACCGGGTTTGACCCCAAGCGGCACTGGTCAATGGTCATTTCGATGGTCAAAGCTTCGTTGATTGCCCGAAATGGCCCCCATTGCTACAAAACTTAATCCCAACGTGTATTAATTTGTATACAATCAATATATGTCATTTTGTCCACTCAAAACATCATTCATGCTTTTATATGCATTTGAATTCATTTACATGCATAATACATTATTAGTTTATAATTTACATAAGCCTAATCACCTTGGCTTATCACATTTTTAAACTTCCTTAAACATTATTATGAACACACATAACATTTATTTAGGTAATCTGATACTTAACCCAAGAGTTATAAGACATTAAGCCGTCAACTCACCTCAAATTAGCTTTAAGAAGTTCTACCCTCCCCGGTTGAACTCCGACGAAACTCCGGCAAACTTTGATGAACTCCGGCAATACCTACGACGACTATCTCAACTTCGTGAATGCACTAGGAACACCTTAAAGAAGTTCCTAACAAGGTTTCATCATCATAAAACCCATATCAACCCAAATAACTTCTAAAAGGTTATTTTCCGATGAACCGGTCACCCTGGCTTCTAAGTCCGTTTTTGAACTTAGAACTACCTTCTAACCCTCATTATACACTTCTAAACGTGTAGAAAAATCCTAGTGGTCCTTTATATGATATATAAGTCATATGATATTTTATTAGAGGAGAAAGTTGTTATGAGATCATTACCTTAATCCTTCAAGTTTTTCCTCACCTTTTCCTACTCAAACTTCCTCCTTGGACCTTCCTTTGTTTGAGTTTGAGTTGTGGCTATGGAGGATAAGTTTCCAGAGGTTCCTTCTCTTGACTGAGCTTGTTTGATCGAAAAATGATAGAGGGGAGAGGGTGGAGAGACTAATTTTGTCTCAATGAGCCAATGAGTGATGCATGGGAGGGGATCCGGCCCTTTGCCTTTCAAACATGTCTCACCCATCTTCTCATGCATCCATAATCTCCATCCCATGTTCCACAGCCCTCAATTTGACATTTGAGTGTGTATTTTCATGGGGTTGCCCCCACTCGTGTGGAAGGTCATCCCTTTAAGCCCCAGAGTATACACTTGATCCTAAAAGTTGTATTTTTTCGGACTATTTTAATTAACTTTCAGTTAATCGGGTCAAATAAAATATATATCATTCTCCCAATTAATATGGATTTCTAGAATGCATATATATTCCCCAACTTTAATTTAGTAGTCCTCGGAAATTATTACGGGTTGTTATCTGTCGAATTACCAATACTGGTATTTGGGTCTCAATTGATCAACGAACCAACTCTATGTCGTATCTATTGCGCAACATGAATATACAACATCATATAAGTATTTTCTAGACCAAAATGAATATAATATGTGGTCCCGGGAATATCGTGGCATCCCCGCTCCCGGTGTGGGGCCCAGATGCATTTTACTAATCACATAAAAATATTAACAAAAATTTATAGCCACGTAATTCATTAACCATTTCTCAAGGTTCAATACATAATTTTGTAAAAGGTAAGCATACTTGGGGACGATGTTCCATTAAGGCTATGTACGAGTGGGTTTTAATACAAAGAGGTATTCCCATAAAAAGTGAGAAGTGATCTAAAGTCCTTGATCACTTAAAACTGGATGAGATAAAAAATCATTGTGGCAAACTGCTAAATCCAAATGTGCAATATAATATTTAATAGTAAAAGTGCATATGCGATGCGTAAGCGTGCAAGCACATTAACCTTTTTTAAATATCACAAAACAATTTCTATAATTGTATGTTTTTTTTTTATTTTCAAAAAACGTGATGCGCTTTTGTGCAAGTTGAATACGCTTTTCCACATAGCCATGCACATATGTCGCTTTATTTTTAAGAAAGATTTCTAATATATGCACTTGTGCCACCGCATTTTGTACTTTAAAATTGATATCATCCACTTACTCTCTTACTTTAATGGTTAATATTATTTCTCATTTTTCATATGAGGAGTACTTTGTATTTGAAAATCCCTCTATATATATACAATCAAATGAGAACAATGGTTAACGTGAAAATCGCGAGAACATCACTTTTAACTCAATGTGATATACTATAACGTTTGTACGTTAAACTCAAATAAACTTAAGCATTCCAAATTTAAATTTATTCCAGGCATTGGCGTATCCAGGGTGGGGGCAGGGGGCAGCTGCCCCCACTCAACCCCCACCCAACCCCTATATATATATATTTAAAAATTCAATTATGCATATATTTTTGTGCTGAATATAGTTAATATATACTATAATTACAAAAAATGTATCTATATAGTTGTCTAGTGCGGTGGAAAGGGAGCTGCCTGCGTATGAAGTCCATCCGTTAAGATGTTGGTTCGAATCCTTCCTCAAATTTTTGTTCCGAACTTTAAGATAATTTTTTCATCCATTATCTTCCTTATTTTCTTTTTTAAGTATTAATCAAATTTAAAGTCACTCAATATATACATACATTTTTAGTTTTAATCTATACTTCATTACATTTTTAGAATTAAAATATACTTCAAGACATTTTACAGTTAACATAAATTCATATTTAGATATAATTCTACATTCACAATTTACATTTTCTAAATACATACACTAACTGCCCCTTATTCAAATTATTGATTTTTAACGTAACATTAAAAAATTAATTTTTTGTGTCAAATTTATAAAGCATGATTTCATATTTTATAGTTGACCGGTTAGTTTTTATTTATAATGAATTTTGTATTGTTTTTCTTAAAGTGTTAGGTTGCTTTTGTCACGGTGCGTCAAAATAATTTTCAATACTAACACTTATACGTAGTATAGCGTAGTAGAGTTCGTATCCACAGGGAAAAGAATAATTCTCTTTTTATAAAACTAGTAAATAAAGGTTTTTTTTGAGATTGAATGATTTAATTTAAAAAACTTAGATGAACAACCTATATGTGTTTATTTCAGAGATAAAAAAGGATTTGACATTGCTACTTTCCACTTAGTGATTAACGTCGCGGCACGACGCCATCATTGTGTTTAATCGTTCAAGCTTGGATCATGATAATTATTTTGACTCTTCACTTCGAAAATCTTTCCAGGATCAAATATCCAGATTTCCATTGATTCATGTGGTGAGAGTGAGGGAAAGAAATTATCGATTAACATGATCAATGGAAAATGTTTTGATCTCTCAATTTTTGTGAAGATTTCAAAAATGTCTTTATCCTTTTCAATTTTATGAGTTTCCCTCGAAGTTTTTAGAACTGTTGGGGGTACCTCAAAGAATGATAAGGATAGATATTTGACCTTGAAACACGGTTCATCCTCTTCTTTGACCAGCTCGAGCTCCGTGTCTCTTTCTCCGTCTACTTCTTTTGGATTTTGGATCTCCTCTTGCATTTCCTTCTCATTTGTCAATGTGATTGCAAAAGTGTGCTGTTTAGGATCACATTCTATTTGAGAGGAAAGTTTTCCCGAATCCCTTGCTTCAAGCCTACTCACGGCTCCGACTATTTGACTCACTTGAGATTCCAAGTTCAAAATGCTAGACTTGGTCTCATTTTGGAATTGCACCATGTTTTGTTGCATGGTGGTCACGCTGTTAGTAAGAGCCCGAACCATGTCCTCCGTAGACATGTTAGAGTTGGAGAATGGATCATACCTCATGTGAGGTACATAATTAATTTGTGCGAGGTATTCTTCTTGGAGCTTTGGGCAAAAATCCGCAATATGCCTGTGAGACATGCAAATATCGCAGGTCTTGGCATCTTGAGTTTCTGAGCTTAAGATAAACTCCTTTATGAGAGAAGCCAAAACGGAAATTTGACTCTCTAAGGATAATGTGTTGGTATCCATATACTCATGTAAGCTCAGAAAATAGAAAAGTATTTTTTTTAATTTTTTTTTGTTTTTGATTTTTATGAGATAAAATAAAAAGAAAAATAATTGCCTTTCCCCGGCAATGGCGCCAAATTTGACGTGTACTTTGTCACGGTGCGTCAAAATAATTTTCAATACTAACACTTATACGTAGTATAGCATAGTAGAGTTCGTATCCACAGGGAAAGGAATAATTCTCTTTTTATAAAACTAGTAAATAAATGGGGTTTTTTGAGATTGAATGATTTAATTTTAAAAAACTAAGATGAACAACCTATATGTGTTTATTTCAGAGATAAAAAGGACTTGGCATTGCTACTTTCCACTTGTTGATATATTTTAGTCGATCATTGTTATATCTATAACTTATTCCCTCTCGAATACTCAATCGGGGAGTATATCCACTTCATCGAGGGTAGTTATTAACAACAACCGTTCATTAATAACCCCTACTATTAATCAAATATAGAACAACGCCTTATACCGATTTAATAGTAGCATTTAATCTTTCTAACTTCTTGATGAAATCAATTGAGATTGATAACCTCAACACAACGGTTTCGGTTTAACCAACAAAATTAATCCCTCTTAAGTTTATTAACCACGATCTTGCATTAATAAACCGAAGTTACTTACTTCTGAAACCATCAACGATTAACCATCGGTTCGTTGATCATTTCTAGTAATAATTAATATATGAAACAAAACTAGTTGATCCTTTAAGTAATGTTCAAAATATTAATATGAAATATGAGTAGGAATTAATTAATATTTAAGGAAGAATATTATTAAAGAAGATGAATCCTACTATAATTAATATCAAGATGTTAACTAATTGTCATCTTAGCAACACTCCCCAACATTAATATAGAGGAAGAAAATACCATTCTAACTAATGTCGAGATGTTAACTAATTGTCATCTTAGCAACACTCCCCAACATTAGTATAGAGATGGTATTAAGAAAAGAACCATTAATAAATATTCAAGGAAAGAAGTTAAGAAAATAACTCACAACTTTAATAATCAACAAGCTTCAAGAGCAACACCAAGAAATGGAAGTTTAGCTCCTCATTTGGAGACTAAACATGCTATAAAATATAAAAAATGCTATTCTAAACTGAGCTAAGAAGTATATGTGAATTGGTCATTTTATTGTGAAGGAAAAGAGTGTATTTATAGGCTTTTGGGAGCTACAAGGTCTGATACCCGACCGGGTATATAGGATACCCGACCGGGTATCTTAGGAAATTTCCCAGAAATTCACTTTTCTGGGCATACCCGATCGGGTGTGTCGGCATACCCGATCGGGTATGTGACGAATCTTTATGAAAATTTGCTCCCACGATCATTTGTTCCCGGATTTGATTTGGACAATCGAATCAAGCAAATACCCGATCGGGTATAGGCAATACCCGACCGGGTACATGAGTATTTTTTCCAAATTGAAATCTTTCTTGCCTCCTTGCACTTTCCTTGATCTTTTAAGGTCCAATCTTGATCTCTTGGATGATCTTTGACCTGTTTAGCTCAGAAAAGTCCTAATCTAAACAAATTACAAATAAATATGAAAATAAAGTATTACACCAAAAGTGTGTAATTTTCTCAACTAGAAATAATAAAAACTAGTTAAAAATACAAACATACAATCGAAAATTACATGAATATCAGACATGCATGAAATAATATATACCCCGTCTTATAAATTTCTTCTCGGTTTGACTTGGATCTAATTTTAAGAAAGTGACCATAAAATGTAAATGTATGACTATGTTTGAGTAGGTAAATGAATGTTAGCCACACAATATTTTTCAAAAACCGAAATGAAAAAAGAGTTTTTTGGGACATTCCAAAGGAGTGAAAAAAATTTTAGGGGACGAAGAGTAGTACTACGTATTAATTACTCGCCCCCACTCACAACAAATCCTGGATACGCCACTGATTCCAGGTACATACTTGATCCATATATCCATTATTTGATGAGATAATTATCAAAATAGGACTAAAAGTCATTCACTTTTCACAAATAGGACCAAAAAATTAACTATGTTTGCATATGACTAATTATGTGTACCTTGGACAATTATACCCTTATTGCTATTAAAATGTTTTAATTCCTAATAAAACAATAAAAAATAATACAAATTCGTAAAAAATACTAAAAAATTAAGAAAAACATTTCTATATTAAAAATTTAATTAATTTTTTTTTTCAAAAAATTGAAAAAAAATAATTAAAAACTCAAAAAAAAAAAAAAAATCGCCGCCGCCTCATCCGCCTCAGCACCACCACCTCCAGTCACCAGGGGGAAAAAATGCCAAGTTCATTACGAATGCCATATTTACGGCAGAAAAAAATGAAAATGTTGGCATTAGAAAAGAGAAATATGCCACTTTTTTGGCATTTTCAGAAAAAAAATAGTATTTTTCTGGGAAAATGACATTTTTTTCATCGGCCGGAGGTGGTGGTGCTGGGAGGTAGTACAGGCGGTGGGAAAGGCATCCATATTTTTTTAAATTTTTTTACGGAGTTTTACTATTTTTTATTAATTTTTTTAAAAATAAAATTATTTTAAAAAAAAAGTTTTTGAATTTTTTATTTTATAAAAAATTTATAAATTTTTTAATTATATTTCTACGAATTTTTGAATTTTTTTCGAAATTATTATGAATTAAACATTTAATTATGGCTTTTGACTATTTTTAATTCATATTTAATGGAAGGGTAAGAATGGAATGCAAAAATAGGTATGTTTCCAATAAGACTCATATGGTCCTATTTTGGAATAAAAACATAGCAAGTCCTATTTTAGGTTTTTGGCATAGTTTTAGTCCTATTTGAACTAATTTCTATTATTTGATTCATTTAATTATGAACGTAAGTTGGAACAACCTAAATTAGAAACCGTGTGATTAAGATTAGGTATGCTATGTTGATGTTTTTGTGAAGGAAATATTTGATCATTTATATATATATAATACGTAGCATTATATTTTTGTTAATGCGGTAAAGTATATGTAGTGCATGTTTGGCCCTAACGATAAATCATAGATATGCCGGCGGCCGGCCCCTAACGTAGTACTGTATATGATGGAGCTGTACGTGTTACACATATCAATTCAAGAAGAAAACAACGAGATCGAGCTTGTGAACTGAGAGGGGGCCTGGAGAGAATTGAGATGAAGAATGAAGCTAGAAGATTATTCATTGATGTCATCCTCATTACTATACATTTGTATATAAACCCGCTCGGTCAATGTAAAACAAGAAGTAGTTAGCTAATCTCAACTACTTAGCTTGTGAGTAACTTTTGACGTACACCTGTTTATACTACATTCATTAATGGCCGGTCCTATCTTTTAGCTGAGCTGGCCATTTATTAAACTGTATCAAGAATTGAAGGAATTGGATGATTCCAATGAAGGTAGGTAGCTAGCTAGCGATAGTTGCGATAGACGGGGCTGTACATGCAACTCTCGGCGTACTTAACGAGATCCCTTGGTCGGGGAAGACGTGTAGCAACACCTGCACCATGCACACACACATATTGAGTAAAATGTTTTGAAATTGAAAAATAAAATATTCATGTTTTTATTTATTTCCTAAACACAAGTAATTTCTGGCTAATTTGGAAAAAACTTGACAAAAAATGTCATGTTTAAAGTCTGATAATGCCGCATCAATTACTCCTATTTAATTTAGGAGTTTGTTTTTCCAAATTTGACAGAAATTTGTTACTTCTATTTAGGAAATAAAAACATTTTAAAACCTTTTTAGTTGAGTGATGATGACTGACCAAGTTCATAAGCCTTTGCTGCTACGGCGGCGGCGATGTGAGCTGATATCTTTCGTATTTGTGTGAATGATTACTCCCTGCTCCGCGTACCTTTCTTCTCTCGCATCTTCCGCCAACGCTTCCGCTGATCGAGTACGTACCGTACGTGTATTTTAATATATATACGGATGATGAGTATATAGTTACGTACGTACATAGCTATAAATTGATCGATTAAGTGAACTTACAGGCTGCTAAGAGCATGTCATCATGAACCCTAATGGTGCCTGACATAATCACACCCAGCCCCAATCCAGGGAATATGTATGCATTGTTAGCCTGAAGATAGATCATATATATATATATATATATATATATATATATATATATATATATATATATATATATATATATATATATATATATATATATATATTACAATTAATTTAATTTATAGATAGATATATATGCACTCTTAATAAATTTAGTAATTGTTCTAAATAAGACTAAAACTAGCCTAAATTAAAATTCACAAATATAACACTACATTCCTAAATCATTCACAAATAGGACTAAACATTAATTTTCTATCCTAAATACCCCTAACAGTATTAATTCATCATGAAATGTTTTAATTCATAATAAAATCAAAAACAAATAATTAAAAATCTTATAAAAATAAAAAAAAAAATAAAATATTTATAAAACAATTTGATGAAGTGTATGGCCCAGGGACCCCCGGCCCACATATTTCCACAACTGCAATCAGGCCCAACAGGCTCAAACGGGCCAAGCCCAGCAAAATGAAGCTCTAAGCAGCCCAAGGGGTGCCTTCGGCCCCATGACCGAAGGCTACCGTTGACAGAGTTGAGCTCAGAAACATCACAGGAGAACAAGGCTTGAAAACCAAGCCTCGGCACATACTGCCCTCGGCACAGGGAGGCCCCCGGTTAGAAGAGCCTTCGGCCCAACACCCTTCAGCCGAAGGCACTTCCCTCGACAGAATATCCTCTCCACATGTGCCTGAATCACCGTACCAAGTACAACATCGCATCCAACCACCGCATTTAATGCGGCTACATGCAAATGCCGGTGCCACCCCGATTGAGGTGACCCTCGGCCGTCGGATGCTTGGCACGTGTCCGTGTCTAGCATTTATTGCTACTATAAATAGCAGTCCATTTTCCCATTGTAAAGGATGACTTTAATACACAACATACTACACTTGAATACTCTCTCTCTTACTTATTGCTCTAGCTTCTCTCTAGGTTATTCTCGTAGTAACCCCTCGGATAAGCTACCCCCGGGTACATTATCCATCACAATTTTTTTTTAAATTAAAAACTAATAAAAACAGTAAAAACCATAGAAAAATAATAAAAAAATAGATGCCTTTCCAACCGCCTCTACTGCCTCCCCGCACCACCACTTCCGACCGGTGTAAATGCCATTTTTGTAAAACAATGCTATTTTTAAAATTTTTAGTTTTAATTTTTTTAATTTTTTAATAAATATTTTATTAATTTTTTTTTTAAATTTTTTATTATTTTTATGGTTTTATTATGAATTAAAACATTTCAAAAGTTATAAATGTTTATTTGTCCAAACACACATAATTAGTTCTTCTGGTGAATAAAAAACAATGTAGTCCTATTGTGACTCTTGACTACCTTTTACTCTTATTTAGGTAACTAACCCTAATAAATTCTAATGAGTACCTAGCTAGTTGGATCTCAATTAAACTAGAGAAAATTGATAGCAATATGACCGAAAGAGATGGTAAAGAGATTGTGGTTCTTAAAATTTGACTAATTAGTTTTTTATTTTTGAATTAATATGCTAATATTACTCATATAGAAACATACTTAAGTTTTTAGTCATATATTAGGAATTCGTGAATGTTTTAGTCATAAACATTCCATTAATCTATCAAAACATACAAGATCAGACATTCATATAGTTGCGCACACTACTTTTGGTGTTGAACAAGGCCGTCTTTTATAGGCGGGATCCACTTTTATAGCCCCCCAAAAATTTAGTATGAACAAATAGCTATATGATAATTTTTCTAGTTATTATGTATTATTCCATATTTTAAAAGGTGTATATTTTTTAGATTATCATATTTACGTATTTTAAACATTATAAAACTTATATTACACGTACTGAATTATATATATATCTAGTCTATACGTTTTTATTGTTAAATTTTATATTCTTTCTTGATTTAGGGGGGGCGTCGATTTGCTATTTAAAACCGGAGTCTCCAAATTCAGAGAAAATGATAAGAATATGAGATTTTCACGTCTGACAAGCGAAACTACGAGAATTGCATTTATGGGACGAAAATACGGGAGTTGGAATCCACAATTCAGACTGGAATTAGGGCTGCGAAAAACAAAGAAAAATAAATATGTTAATAGATTTATTATTGCTTAGGTATTACTGGGTATTATTGATAACCCAAAACCAGTTTTAATAATAAGGTTTAACTATGTTTTTAGTCCTTCAAAATATCTTACATAGTACATTTTATTTTATGTACTTTTAAAAAAATTGTTTTTTGCCCCTAAAGTTTAAGGATGTTTTCTTTTGTATTGAAATTTGTTGATCTGGTTTGGTTTGGTCTGTCAGGGTCTGCGGTGGTCTAGTCAAAACCGGTATGGCCTGGTCTGGTAAATGTCTGGTCTCAATGCATTTTATAATTATGGAAGTCTGGTCTGATCTAGTCTAATCTGTTTAAGTCCGGTTTGATCTAGTGTGCTTTTGGTCTGTTTTAGTCGGGGACTGTGGTCTGTTTTAGTCGGGGACTGAAAAAAATAAAAAAGAAAACATCTGAAATTTATGTTGGTTTTGTTTTTGGTCAATCATGATGATAACAATCTTTTTTTGATAAAGAAACAAATCCAATTTATAGATTTCCTCTAACGATGCGAGCAGTGAGGACATTAAAGAACGGCTACAACGGTTGGCCCTGGATGTAGGTGATGAAGAGATGCTCCACCGGGGCGTATTCATTTACCCTGATGCACAAGATGAGCCTGCTCCCGACCCTCGTCGTAGATATGGTCTCCATGATCAAGATGAAGATGAAGGTTGAAACGAGGAAGAGGATGATGCATATGAAGATGAAGGTGGGGGTGAGCTAGGAATCACAACCGCCCCCTGAATTATCAACGCATCAAGATTTCACAGCGTATTTTGATTCTTATCAGTACTCTACACAGCCGGATGGGTATTTTCCCACATTTACGGATTTGCCATTTTACCATGAAGACACAACGGGGGTTTGGAACACTGGCGGCGGGGACATATTAGGGCCGAGCACCCAACCTACCGTTGAACGAAGACGAAGACGAAAACCGTGACATCGTGACTGTGGGTGGGTGATATGCACTAATTAGTAGTGCATAAGTGTATGTTTTTATGTTTGATTTGTGTGGATTGTTTACCGTTTTATTTAGTTTGTAAACATTTGTGTGATTTTAATTGGTATTGTATTTTAATCTTCATTTATAAGTTGTAAAGTAGAATTAGGAATTATGGTGTTGAAAAGGAGGACTTTGAAGTGAAGAAAAAGGAGTTTGGACTGTCCAGGAGCTAAAACCCGACCGGGTATAACACTTGACCCGGTCCGGTACGATTTAACAGACGAAGGTGGCTGGAAATTACACAGACCCGGTCGGGTCCCCTATGCCACCCGGTCGGGTCTGACTTAACCAGGGACATTTTAACGTGCTGAAACACAAGAACGTGGAAGATTATCTGATTTTGACATGCACCCGGTCGGGTGGGCACTTGACCCGGTTGGGTACCCGACCCAAGGTGTTGAAAAACACCTATAAATATCACACTTTTTCTTCACAAATAATTATCCATTCTTCCATACTCTTAAGCTCAGTTTAGAATATCATTTCTTTATATTTTTCTAGCATGTTTAGTCTCCAAATGAGGAGCTAAACTCTCATTTCTTGGTGTTGCTCTTGAAGCTTGTTGATTATTAAAGTTGTGAATTATTTTCTTAACTTCTTCTCTTGAATATTAATTCTTCCCTTAATCTATCTATATATTAATATTGAGGAGTGTTGCTAAGAGGACAATTAGTTAACATCTCGACATTAGTTATAGTAGTATTTATTTTCTTCCTCTATATATTAATGTTGGGGAGTGTTGCTAAGATGACAATTAGTTAACATCTTGACATTAGTTATAGTAAGATTTATCATCTTTAATATTCTTCCTTGAATATTAATTAATTCCTATTCATATTTCATATTAATATTTTGAACATTACTTAAAGGATCAACTAGTTTTGTTTCATATATTAATTATTACTAGAAACGATCGACGAATCGATGGTTAATCATTGATGGTTTCACAAGTAAGTAACTTCGGTTTATTAATGCACGGTCGTGGTTAATAAACTTAAGAGAGATCAATTTTGTTGGTTAAACCGAAACCATTGTGTTGAGGTTATCAATCTCAATTGATTTCATCAAGGAGTTAAGAGATTAAATGCTACTATCAAGTCGGTATATGACGGTGTTCTATACTTGACTAATAGTAAGGGTTATTAATGAACGATCGTTGTTAATAACTACCCTCGATGAATTGGATATACTCCTCGATTGAGTATTCGAGAGAGAATAAGTTATAGATATAACAATGATCGACTAAAATATATCAACAAGTGGAAAGTAGCAATGCCAAGTCCTTTTTATCTTTAATATAAATCTCATATAAGTCGTTCATCTTAGTTTCTTATTAAATTAAATCCTTCAACTCCAAAACCCCCCTTTAATTACTAGTTCATAAAAAGAGAAGTATTCCTTTCCATGTGGATACGAACTCTACTACGCTATACTACATATTAGCCCTTAGTAGTGAATTTATTTTGACGCACCGTGACAAAGTGCCCGTCAGTGGGGAGAATTATTGTATGTACATATTTATTAATAAATTAAATTGAAACTACATTTGTTTTGTTCACTTTCATTGAAATTACAAAAATTGCATTTTAAACAAAATCAAATTTGTATTTCATTTTATGAATTTAATTCACAACACGGATGGTTTAATAAATAAAATAAAGTAACCAATATTTTAATTTGATATTAAAAAAATCAAACTCCATGTTTTTCATTTTAAATTTCAGAAATACAAATTAACAAATCAATAAATTTATAAATACAAAACTCCACCTTATTTAAAATAAAAAAACATGGTCGGAGGAGAAAATCCGACTATATATGATTAAATGCATGCTTTCCATTTTAAAAAATATGCCTCTATTAGTTTTAATTAAGTTAAACGAATTAAAAAAAAAAAACTTTCTGTCGGAATTGAGAAATCCGACCATAGGATTTTCCCCCTTTTCCCAAACCTACCCTTCCCCTAGCCGGAACTCACAAATCCGACTCCCCCTTTTTTGGATTTGTGAATTACCCCCAAATGTATTAGCGTGTCCTGGTGTTGAATATATGTAAATATTAGATGGAATTGGAGCAAGCTCTACCTGTCCGGGCATTAAAATCTTCCCCTCATATTCAACCGGATCGAATGGACTTCCGCTAGCAAAAATTGCTCTAACCTGTCATAATCATATATTGGGTCTTCAAATTAAAATCACATCGAGGCCGGCTAGGGGTAAGGTACGTGGAAATTAAAATATGTACTCGAAATCACTACGTACCTTGGTCCATGTATAAGCCTCTTCCGCTGTACACTCAGCTTGCGAAGTTGGATTGGATAGAGCCATGATAACAGGTCGCTATACATTTTAATTTGTTTGTGATAACAATATATACATTAATTACATGCATGAATATAATTAAGTACGTCACTACATGGTACATACTATATATATGTTTCACTATGATTTAAATTTGACTATGTTGCACTAGAACAACTTCAATTCATGTTGGACTAGACTTTGACAATGGTGCACCAGGATTTGACAATGTTATACCAAAACAGCTTCATGATGCACTAGACAAATGTGACACCGATTTTTCAGAAATATATACGAAATTGCCATCACACATAGTTTCACTACAACATGAACATCTTTTACTGCAACATAGTCGAATACTCAAATTCAATGTCTGAGCTTCATTCTCATTAATTTTCTCACCTAAAGACTTATTCTTAATGGAATATGACTCACCCTATACACACAGTATATAACATGATGAAAAAGGACACTACTTGAACAAATAGTGTATTGTAGCACTTCAAAAGTGAATATTTCTCATTTTACACGTTAAAACTCATTTTCATTTCTCCCATAATGTGTGTGTATATATATAGGGTGCAAATCAAATAAAAACCATTACTCCCGTGAAAACCGCAAACCGTTAACTTTTTCACAGTACGATGCACGTACTATTGGATTTCTATGTTGCATTTTTTCGAAATTTTGTCTTATTTATGAAAATGCCACCACTTTTATTTTATTTAACATGGTTCGACCAAAGTTCAAAAATTACAACAAAGCACCCTTAAAGTGCATCACATTGAGAAAAAAGTGAACGATTTTCAGTTTTCACGTTGAGAGTCATTTTATTTGATCCGAAACCTAACACACACACATATGTATATATTAGATAGATAGATGTATGTATACCTCATTTATTGATGCCATGGTCTCCACTACCTCTTGCGTAAATGTTTTTCCAACTCCTGAAGTTCCTATCAGAACACTTGGATGTATGGCCTGCGTGCAGATATGTATGCATGATAACATGCATGTTGTACCTCCATCCCGAAAAGAAATTTTCATTTTATTTAATTTCCTTTTATGGATGTCACAAAAATGTTCTCATTTCTATAAAAGGAAACAACTTTTAAGCAAAAAGTCACAACTACCCTTACTTTTTATCTACTTTTTGCTTGATTTGAAATATAAGTAAGGATATACTGGAAAGTCAAAAAAAAAACTCTATCCTACATAAATATGTGTGTAAGTCAATCTGGGAACTTCATTTCAGGACGGATGGAGTATATTATTAACAAGTGAACACACACACACATATTTTGAGGATCTCGTTGGGCAGTTTATGTCTTTGGCAGGAGTCAGTTTCTATATTGGTCATTTTGGACTTCGGTTCTCTATTGTTTTTTCATTAGCGTGCAATCTTTCAATAAATTTATGTTGTTTTTTTAAATTTCTCAAACCCAACCCAAACCCAAAAGTTGGAATCGTCCACCCCAAATACCTCACACTCTCACTAGACAAAAGGGTATATGGAAATTAATCTTTTTAAATTTGTCTCTTTATTAGCTGTTCTATTTTGTACGTAGTATTTAAATTTAACACAACTAGCTAGCTAGGTAAGAGTTACCCAATTCTTACCCCATATATATTTCGTTCCTATGTATGGGAAAATATTTATGCATTAACCTAGCTAGCTAGCTAGCTCGATCAATCCATCACATGTAAGCATGAGATGCTGGTATAGTACGATATACGTACGTACGTACGTACCTTGATAGCATGAATGAGTTCCTTGACAGGTTGATGTGGATGAGCCCACGGCCTTTTGAATTGTTGAAGGGATTCCATTCGTGATTTCACAATCAATCCCTGTCATTCCATTTTTATTGCATGCCGCACGTACGGTAAAAGAATTGAATGTACAACGTAACATCAAGTATATATATATGTAGCCGCTAACTTTTAGTGGCGGATTCAGAACATTTTGATTTTCAAGGCCGGGGGATGGATGAACACGAGTCGATCGGGTGTGGTCCGATTCTACTTGGTCCAAAAGGTGGAATCTCCCACACCAGGAGCCCCCCATACCCCGACCCGACAAGATTTTTGGGAGGATGTTAATCACGGTGACTCAGTCGGCCCAATGATGGTAGGCCTTTTTCCCGTGCGCACCAGAGGCCCAGCCTTATTTCAGGTTCTGTGACCTCCACACGGCCGCTGCGGGTTTCGAACCTTGGTCACTTGGTCCAAATTTCCCACCACTGAACCAACTGAGCTACCCGTGCGGGTATGGTCCGATTCTACTCTTATTACTTCTAGTGTTCATATTATAGAATTTCTATCAAAATTGGGTCGATCAAGTAGTTCTAGTTTCTAGCCATGTACACATTCTCCTGTTTGAGCTTTGATTAATAATTCATTTAAAAGAAAATATGGAGCCTTTCAAAAGAAAATAAAGAGGACTATATCGGCGCCAGGCATATTACGTACATATTTTACGTACATATTTTTTTTGCACCATGTTAGTATTTATATTTTTGTACAAACTTTATGGACGTGTACTTAGAAGATAGAATTCTTCCCGGGTTAGAACTCTTGTACGTAGCAATTAGCTAGCTTTTATTTTGTTCTTATCGGTTAAGCTTTTACACGGCCTATACCCTTGTATATATACTGTACCCCATGATTCAATGAACACACAGAAAATTTCCCTATCTCCTTCGATATTTGATATGGTATCAGAGCGGTAGAAAAAAAAAACATATCCGACTCACGACAATGACCGATGATAGCAACTCGACCTTTTCCGGCGACGGTAAATTTACCGATCGTGAGGAACCCCGATGACGGAAAATCACCGATCCCACATCTCCTTACTACTTGTCAAGCTCTGATTCTCCTGGGCAGAATATCTGTGGCTTCACGTTGAAAGGAGAAGGGAACTACCGACAATGGGCGACTGCCATGCAAAACGCTTTTCGTGCTAAACGGAAATTTGGTTTTGTGGATGGTAGCATCACCCGACCGTCCGACCATGTTGACGACATTGAAGATTGGGTCAGCGTCAATTCGATGCTGGTTGGATGGGTCATGACAGCCATAGATCCATCTCTACGAACGAATATCACCTATATGGATGATGTTTACGACCTATGGGAAGACTTGAGGGAGCATTTCTCGGTTGGGGATCCGATGCGGATCCATGAGCTAAAGGAAATGTTGCGTGGCTGTAGGCAGAATGGTGAGACCATCTCGGCCTATTTTGGGAAGCTAAAAACCTTGTGGGATGAATATGATGGGTATCGTGTGGTGCCCAAGTGCATATGCAAGGGATGCAAGTGTGATCTGGCAAAACAATATATGAAACAAATTGAAGCGGAAAAGGGCCACAAGTTTCTTATGGGCTTGGATTCTGAAAATTATGGGACATTGCGTTCCAATATTCTAAGCCAAGAGGAACTCCCAGCAATGACCCGATTGTATCAAATGGTGACGCAGGAGGAGCGGCATCGGAATATGATACGAGGCAGAGAGGAAAGGCCGGAAGTCATTGCTTTTGCGGCTAACGGTTCTTCCCTTTCGAACCATGTAGAACCAAAGGTCGTGTGCACCTTCTGTAAGAAGACTGGGCACACCTTTGAGCAGTGCTTTAAACGGACTGGAAACTATCCGGATTGGTGGTACGACAATCCGGGGAAGGGTCGTGGCGGACGTGGCAGCCCAAGGACTGGACGTGGACGAGGAAAAGCCGTAGTTAATGCGGTACACACTGAAGATCATTCGGAGCATGCAGTGAGCAATTTTGGTGCACGACCTGAAGCACCTACGGCTCGTTTATCACCGTCGTTCACTGGTGAACAGTGGCGTGATTTTTTGCATCTCATGCAAAATTGTAAGGCTGCTTCAGCTTCCTTTGCTCCAGAGAAATTAACAGGTATGGAAAAACAGTCTGATTGGTTGTTAGACTCGGGAGCCTCATATCACATGGCCGGAGATGCACGGCTATTTCAATCCAAGGAGTCAATTCAGCCGACTCCGGTGACCTTACCGAATGGAGACGTGGTGTATGCTACCTTGCGGGGACAAATTGTCTTGACTCATAAAATTATTTTACATAATGTTCTATTCGTTTCGGGCCTTACGTGCAAACTCATCTCAATTGCACGTTTAATTGATGACTTGAAATGCATTATTTTGTTTACTAATGAGACTTGTGTAATACAGGACCCGCCTACGAGGATGCTGATTGGAGTGGGTAGACGACGTGGGGGCGTATACTATTTTCACAGTATTGAAGAAACTTTGGCTTTAGCTGTAGGAGACGTCAATAAAAGTGATCTTTGGCATGCAAGGCTCGGCCATCCTTTACCTTCAGTAGTGCGAACCATATCCAGTACCAATAAAGTAATTCCTTACCTTCATGTTCAAAATAAACCTTGTGATGCCTGTTTACGGGCAAAGAAAACTAGAGATGTATTTGGAATAAATTCTGCCAGAGCTACTAGTTGTTTTGAATTAATCCATTGTGACGTGTGGGGTCCATATCGTTTTCCTTCTTCATGTGGTGCCCGTTATTTTTTGACAATTGTGGATGATTATTCTCGGGCGGTATGGGTGCATTTAATGTGTGACAAAACTGAGGTGGGCACTATTCTTAAACATTTTTTTGCTATGACCAAACGTCAATTTCAAAAGGATGTACGTGTGGTCCGAAGTGACAATGGGAAAGAATTTTGTGCCTTGAAAAATTATTTTTTGGATCAAGGAATAAATTTTCAAACTTCTTGTGTTTATACTCCACAACAAAATGGACGGGTAGAGCGCAAGCATAGACATATTCTCGAAGTGGCTCGGGCACTACGATTTCATGCAAATTTACCTTTGGATTTTTGGGGAGAATGTATTCTAGCTGCCGGGTATTTAATCAATCGGTTACCTACTCCGGTAATAGACAACAAGACACCCTATGAACTTTTATTTGGAAAAGCTCCTTGTTATACCGATCTACGTGTTTTTGGATGCCTATGTTATGCTCATGTCAAGGCCAATTCTGGTGATAAATTTCCCCCCCGCGGTGTTAAATGTGTGTTTCTTGGATATGCTCACTCACAAAAGGGCTGGAAGGTCTTTGATTTGGAGCAATGTCGCCATTTTGTGTCCAGAGATGTACGGTTCTTTGAAAATAATTTTCCATTTCATGAACATGCTGCTTTGGAATCCGAATCCACAAACCCTAACCTCATTGACATCCATGTTGATGAAATGAAGAATTTTCCTGAAGCCATGCACCCACCTACTGTACATACACCGCCACATACACAAATTACCTCACCAGAACCTACTTCACCAACCTTTCCTTCACATGAAATCTCTGCCCCATTATCCTCTCCTTTAAACCACAAACCTCCAGAAACTGAGCCATCCTTGTCCACTCCAGCAACACCCATACCTCCCACTACTGAGCCGCCACTTTCCACTGCTGCTTCACCAATACAGCCGCATGGACGTATCAGAAAACCACCGTCATGGCATGCGGATTATGAAGTCTCTCTTAATACTGTGCGAATAGCGAAACCCCCCGTTATCTCATCTGCTTCCACAGCACCCGCAGGTACTCCTTATTCCTTGTCTAATTATGTTAACTATAATCGCTTTTCACTTCATCATCGTGCTTTTTTAGCGGCGATTAGTGCAGCTCGTGAACCCGAGTCATATCGGCACGTTGTCCAGGATCCACGGTGGCGGGCTGCTATGCAGGCAGAAATTGATGCTTTGGAGCGCACTCGTACATGGACGGTGCAATCCTTGCCGCCAGGCAAACGGGCCATATTTTGTAAGTGGGTATACAAAATTAAATATAAATCTGATGGTTCGGTTGACAGGTATAAGGCTCGCCTTGTTGTTTGTGGAAATCGCCAGATTCATGGCATTGATTATCATGACACTTTTGCCCCTGTAGCAAAAATGGTTACCGTCCGTGCCATTTTGGCCGTTGCAGCCTCACGAGACTGGGTGCTCCACCAGATGGACGTGGATAATGCCTTCTTGCATGGGGATCTTGGTGAAGAGGTATACATGCATTTTCCACCTGGCTATTCTTCCTCTTCACGAGGTCAGGTATGTCGGCTGCTCAAGTCTTTGTATGGGCTCCGTCAGGCTCCTCGTTGCTGGTTTTATAAGCTTACTTGTGCCCTCAAGGACTTTGGATTTAGTCAGTCTCAGGCTGATAATTCCCTATTCACTTGTCGCCGGCCTGGAAAAATCTTATGTGTTTTAATATATGTTGATGATCTTCTCATAACTGGCAATGATCTGGAATTTGTTATTGAATTTAAATCCTATCTCTCATCCCGCTTTCCTGTCAAGGATTTGGGGGTTATGAAGTATTTTCTGGGCCTTGAACTAGCTCGCAATGCCACGGGGATTTTCATTAGCCAGCGGAAGTATGTGCTGGACATACTTACCGAAACTGGCATGTTGGGTGCTAGGCCGGTTTCTTTTCCTATTGTCCAGAATCATGGTCTTCAAACCGATGAGGGGCCCCTGTATGATGATCCTGATCAGTATCGGCGGCTAGTTGGGAAACTTATTTATCTCACTTTGACCCGACCGGATATCAGTTATGCCGTTCATGTTTTATCTCAATTCATGCAATCTCCGCGGCAAGCACATTGGGCAGCGGTAGTGCGTGTGTTGAGATACCTTAAGGCTCATCCGGGTCAAGGGATTCTTCTCCGACGTGATTCTCCCCTTCTTTTGACTGGTTATTGTGATTCGGATTGGGCCAGCTATCCTCTCACGCGACGATCTGTCTCTGGTTATTTCGTCTTGTTGGGCAATTCTCCTATTTCTTGGCGGACAAAGAAACA